TATGGCCATTAGAGCCATACGGGGGTACCGTACGGTATCCCACACGGCGGCCACACTGCTGGCCGGGATGCCGCCCCTTGACCTAGTGGCGGCCGAGTACACAAAAGTGTACCGGCGCACTAGGGAACTCCGGGGGCAGGGCGTCCCGGTCACGGCGCGGGTCCGGAGGCTCCTCGGGGCCCAGGCTAAGAGGGAGACGCGGGAGGACTGGCGGGTGCGACTTTCGGCGCCAAATACGCCGGGGAGGCGCACTGTCGACGCCGTCCTCCCGTGTCTGGATGAATGGTTGGAGCGCCCGTGGGCGCGGGCCTCATTTAGGACGTCGCAGGTGCTCACCGGGCATGGGTGCTTCGGTGAGTACCTGCGGCGGATAGGGCGTGAGGCGAGCGAGGCGTGCCACCACTGTGGCGCAGACAAGGACTCGGCGCAGCATACACTCGAAGAGTGTAGTGAGTGGGATGCGCAGCGCCGGGTCCTTGTCGATAAGATAGGCCCTGACCTGACGCTGCGGGCGGTAGCGACTGCCATAGTCAGGGACAGGGCAAAATGGGAAGCTTTCTCCTCCTTCTGCGAGCATGTGATGCTGCAGAAGGAGGAGGCGGAGCGAGTGCGAAGGGGGGAGGTAAATCCCCCCGGAACACAAGGAGGCGGCAGGGGAGCGGGGATCCGGGGAAGAAGGAGAGGAATCCCCGCTCACCTGAAGAGATGGCGCCCGGTCTGACCGAAGACCGGGAAAAAAAAAAAACGAACAGTCTCTGGGAAGGGAGGCGGCTGACACCTGAGCGGCCGCCTCCCTTCCCCGGGAGACTGACTACAGCGAGCGTGCGAGCGGTAGTATAGAAGACTTGGGGGGAGGCGGGGGCGCGGGATTCGTGGGTCGTCCGACCCCACCCCCCAGTGGGGTGGCGTCGGTCGCCTGCTACCTGCGCCCCCGCCTCCCCCCATAGCCCCATGCGAGGGGCAAGAGGAGATGGGAGCCCTGGGTGGCAACACAGGGCACCCGGGGGTGGGCGCGGGCTGGAGACCCGCGACCCACCCGCCCCCACAACACCAAGGAGGCGCGGCAGGGGCCCGGTGGCACCCCTGCCGCATAATAACAGCGAGAAGAAGGCCGAATAAAAGGCCTAGGTTCCCCCCCTCTTAAAAGGGGGGACGAAGTAGAGCGCGATTCGAGCGTGACGCGGGGGCCATCTGGAGCTTTGCGTTGTATTTCCCAGATGGCCCCCATAATGCGCGATTAGGTGGCCACTCCCGGTGGTTTTAGTGCGGTAGGCGTCTCCGTTGCACTACTGGCTCTGGGCCAACTTCCCAGGTGCCAGGAAGACGAGTCCCACACACCACCCGTCCCCTTCTCCAGAGGGGGCGGGTGACGGTCCATGAGGATTTCCACCGGGTCAAAAAAAAAAAAAAAGGTACGTTGGAGGATTTATGGAAGAGAAAAAGGGAAGAACTAGAAAGGAGTGGGGGGAGGGAGAGATTTTCAAGAAAAGTAGATTAACACAGAGATCGCCAGGAAAGGAGGGAGGAAAAGTAGAAATAGAGCAAGAAGAAGGGAAGGAAGAAGAAAGCAACAGAGTAGAGGAGTATTTCGAAAGGATGATGGAAAAGATGAAGGAGAGTTTAATCAAGGAGCAGGAGAAAATAATAGAAGGAATAATATTGTAGAAGATATAAGAAAAGAATTTAGAGGAATACGGAATGAATGGAAGGAAGAAAGACAAGAATTAATGAAAGAAATAGAAAAGAAGAAAGAGAGAATAGAAAAACTGGAGCAGGAAAGAGGCAAGGAAGAGGAGGGAGAGAAAAGAGAGAGAGGTAGAGAAAAAGAAGAGAGTATAAGAAATAAAATGATAGAGATGGAAAAAAGAATGGAGAATAGAGAAAGAGAGGAGAAAAGGAAGAATGTGATAATGAGAGGAGTGGAGGTAAGAGAGGGCAAAAGGAGGGAGGCAGCAGAGGAAATTCTGAAAACAGTAGGAGCGAAGGCGGAGATAAAGGAGATAAGAAGAATAGGGGAGAAGAAAGAAGAAGCAAGAGAGATGCTACTGGTGAGGCTTGAAAACGAGGAACAAAAATGGGACATTATGGA